AATTCTTGACTCTGACAAGCACATAAGAACCCAGTGCTAGCTGGGCTTGGTGGCTCAGCCTGTAATCCTGCACCTTTGGGAGGCTGAAGTGAGTGGATTGCCTGAGCCTGCGGGTTTGAGGCCCGCCTGGGCAGCGAGACCTCATCTCTACAATAAATCAAAATATCAGCCGGGCATGGTAGTGCATGCCTGTAATTCCGGCTACGCGGAAGGCTGAGGCGGAAGGATCGCCGGAGCCCAGCAGGTCGAGGCTGTGGTGGCTGGGAGCGGCCACTGCACTCCAGTCTGGGCGACAGAGTGAGACTCCAACTCAAAAAAAAAAAAAAAGAACCCAGTGCTTGCCTAGTCCACTGATGGAGCTGCCCCTGTTGGTTAAACCTTTCTCAAAAGCACTTTGATAAGATGTAGCTGAAGTCTTTAAAAGCTCATATCTTTGATTAAAATGTTCTAGAACTAGATGGCTGTAATGGTTTTAAAACATTGTGAATGTGCTAAATGCCACCACATTGGACTGTACTTTAAAATGGTTAAAATGTCTCTGCTAAAAATTAGCCGATGTAGTGGCTCACACCTGTGGTCCCAGTTACTCGGGATGGCTAGAGCCCAGGAGCTCAAAGCTGCAGTGAGCTATGATCACATTCACGGCCACCCCAGCATCGACCTGCTGGGCTCCAGTGATCCTTCCGCCTCAGCCTTCCAAGTAGCCAAAACTACAGGTGCATGCTACCACATCTGGCTAATTTTTTATTTATTTTAGAGACAAGGTCTCCTCAAGGCTGGTCTTGAACCCACGGGCTCAGGCAATCCACTTGCCTTGGCCTCCCAAAGTGCTGGAATTACAGGCTGAGCCACCTAGCCCGGCCTACATAACTTTAAGAACACAAGGGAAGCCGGGCTCGGTGGCTCAGCCTGTAATCTCGCGCCTTTGGGAGGCTGAGGTGAGCGGATTGCCTGAGCCCGTGGGTTCGAGACCCGCCTGGGCAGCAAGACCTCATCTCTACAATAAATCAAAAAATCAGCCAGGCGTGGTAGCGCATGCCTGTAATTCCGGCAACTCGGAAGGCTGAGGCGGAAGGATCGCCGGAGCCCAGCAGGTCGAGGCTGCGGTGGCCGGGAGCCGCCACTGCACTCCAGGCTGGGAGAGTGAGACTCCAACTCAAAAAACAAAAAAGAAAAAACAAAAAGAACACAAGGGAAGGGTCATAATACATTAAGTGAAGAAAGCAGGACTGACGGTGTGATCTCCACTTTGTGACAGAGATGCGTTTATTGGCATATATGCAAATATAAACTGCATCCAAATTTGCAGTAATACCAGGCAGATTTTTTTTTTTTTTTGAGTTGGAGTCTCACTCTGTCGCCCAGACTGGAGTGCAGTGGCCACTCCCGGCCACCGCAGCCTCGACCTGCTGGGCTCCGGCGATCCTTCCGCCTCAGCCTTCCGAGTTGCCGGAATTACAGGCATGCGCTACCACGCCTGGCTGATTTTTTGATTTATTGTAGAGATGAGGTCTCGCTGCCCAGGCGGGTCTCGAACCCGCGGGCTCAGGCAATCCACTCACCTCAGCCTCCCAAAGGCGCGGGATTACAGGCTGAGCCACCAAGCCCGGCTTCAGGCAGATTTTAAAGCTGTTTGTCATCCTCCCTGGATAAATGTGGCCCCTCCTCCCAGCCCTGCCCTCTCCAAGGTCTCGAGATTGAAGGTAAGGCAAACATGCTGACCACGAGAGCCAGCCCCTGTGAATGCTGCTTTTGCGAAAAACAACACCAAGGAGAAAAATAATCAGAGCAATGCCAGTAGATGGTGTTTATAAAGTTTTTATTTTCCATTTTCTTAAAAATAACATTTGATTTCCTTTATGCATGTGTAGAGCGTACTTGTTTCCTTAGGCTGAGTAATAGGCAGATAAAGACAACACGAGGCGGGGTCCCCAAGTGGAGGCAGGGGCGAGGCGTGAGGGCATGGGGTGCAGGGGCAAAGGGGGGTGACCCACGGGACGCTTGCGTGCCCATCAACGCACACACACGGTCTAACACTTTGCTTTTCGATTTTTTAAAAAGACATCTAAAATTACTGAGATACGATTTCAGCACTTAAATCTACAGACGGAAATCCAAGCACTTGGACACAATTCTCAACTCTAAGCTCAGTTATTGCACATCACACGGCTTAAGGAGGTTTCGGAGCTGCAAAGCAGTTAGCTCTGCTCGGAACTTCCTCGGAACGTCTATCTCCTTGTGCACCCCCGTGTCTCTTTCCCAGGACTCCTGCCAGCCCGCAGCCCCACGATGACTCTGGCTGTCGAAGATTGGCCATTCCTTCTCCACAAGGGCTGATTCCCACGGACCCCACCCACCCAGGGGTGAAGTTGGAAGCACAGGGAGCTCCAGGTAGGCTGGAGGGAGGAAGTGCAACCACCTGCCACAAGCAGTCACAGCCCCAGGGAGACACTCAGAGACTCTTATCCTGCTCTCATCCACTTCGCCTCCTTCCTGAGCTCCCCTGGCCACAGTTCCTTGTCCATCCCCCTTGGGCCCTTTCTGAGTGGTCTCTCAAGGCACATTTTCTCCTCCCCACCCTGTCCAATCCGAGACCCATCTCTCCTAGCCCCCAGGGGCCGAAGAGGCCTGGGGTAGCCAGGGGCAGCTCCTGGGCCAGACAAGAAGACAGTCTTCAGAAATTTGGTTGAGCTCTTTTCAGCACAGCGCTAATTCGCCTGCCTACCTAAGCCAGGGGAGCTGGGGCAGGAAGGAGAGAGGTCATCCAAGCACAAAGCCTGGGTAGCAGGTGCTGGGTCAAGGGCATGAACCCCAGGAGCTGAGGAAGGGCCAGCCTGCAACCTTGCTCACCAGGCAGCCTGAAGCTCATCTAACCACACAGCAGCTCCACTGGAAACAGCTGCTTCTGTCTACCTTTAGGGAGAGACCAGTGCCAGGGAGTGAAAAGCAGTATGGGGGGCTTCAGAAGCTGGCAAGGCTGGACTCCTGCAGTCCCGCCAGGGGCTAGATCAACGCTTTTTGCTTTCTTCCTAAACATATTTACAAGGTCAGACAAAAGTCCACAGCCAGAAGACCCACAGACACAGAGCACATGTTCCCCCAGGAGTGGAGGACAACAGTGAGTCGAGGGGGACGCCCCTTTCACCACATCTCCTCCCCCAGAATATCCCCCTACCAGCATCCTTGATAGCCACCCCCAGGAGGACAGTTCTGGAAGTCCAGCTAGGGCAGAAGGAAGCGACAGACTCCAATCCTAGCAGGAGCAGGAAGTTTCAAGTAGCTCTGAGTCAGAGAAGGGGCTGCCTTGGAGAGCAGAGGGCTGGCGCGGAACAGCATTTCCCTGAACTGAGCCGGGGGTGGAGGGAGAAGTGGGAGGACAGAGAGGGGGACAGGAGGAAGAAGGTGACCGGGAGACTGGAACAGCGTGACACCTCAACAATCAGAACTGTGCTGTGGGATGGGAAGCAGTTTATGGAGCTAAGTGGAGTTTCGTGATTTCCCCCAAGAAGGACTCAGAAGATGTTGATTCCAGGGTGGGGTAAAGGGTGTGGTTCTTCTGGAAAGTCCAGCAGATGCCCTGCGGGTGCTGACACAGGCTGGAAGCCTGGTCCTGGAAGCCTCCGTGTTAACCCCACACCCACCACCCGGTCAGTACACAGGCAGCTCCTCCTCACACTCCTAGGCCACCAGGTTGGCCAGCAGGTTCACACACACGAACACACACACACACACACATTGCACTCACCACACACCAAAGCACATCAGAGGCCCAAGTTCAGGTAAGAAATTCTCCACCAAAGGTGCTGAGGAATTTGCTTCAATAGGGAGAACATGGCAGATTGGGGAAAATAAACAAAACTCACGGGACATCTCCTCATCTGGTGAGATGAGTTCCCACTTGGTTAGATTTGGGGGAACGGCAAGGTGTGACCTCAGCCTGTCCTGTTCCCTCAGACTTTCCAAAACTCCTGCATACTACAGACTTCAAAAGAGGCCTTGGGGAAGCCCCTCTGCCAGGGCAGCCCTAGGGGACCCCCAGAGAGGGCAGAGGAAAACGCCAGGGGCTGAGGAGTAAGACAGGGCGTGGCCCATGTGTGCCTCTCCCTTGAGCAGGAGCAATGGAGAGAAATCACGGTCTCAGGGAGGAGGAAGCCTGCAGCTTTTAACTGCTCCTTCTCGACAAGGAATTTCTGTGGGTCTGGGCAGGAGCACTTGGTTGAGGGATCAGGAGGATGTGGGTACACATACCCCTGGCCAAGACCCAGGCCTGGCTGCTCCTGGTCCTCAGGTTCCTTGTAGTGGACAAGAGGGACGAAGGCAGGTGCAATAACCACAGTCTGCACCCAAGGGGAGACAGGCGGAGCTCAACTGCACAACCAGAGCCCACTGTCCCCAAGAGGGCAGCTCAGACCGCACTCCACTACCCCATGAGACCCACAGAAGAGAGCTGGCTATTCCAAGGCCTTGCACTCAGGGCTGCCCCAGCTCCACTCCTGAAAGCAAAGTGCCAGGATCTGCAACCGCAGACTCCCCTGCTGAGTGGGCCCTGTCTCCTCATCCCACTCCACCCGCACCACATGGGAAAGACCTTGGATAGCATGTCAAGGCCCTCCCCTCCCCCACCTCTCAGCTCCTGCCCCCTGCTCCTTCTTGGCCACCTTTGGGCATTTGGGCTTAGGTTAGGAGAGTTTCTCTAGTGCTTGGGGATTCAGCAAAGGGACAGGGCTAGCTGTGGTTAGGTGTGCTGGCCCATCTCATCTGAGGCTGGCGGGGTGTCACACCCAATCTGTCCAGTCTGGGGAGGACCCCTAGCAATAGAAAGCTCCCTACCCTCCCTCCTCTCTGCAATGAGGACAGGCCCACAGGCCAGAGCTTGACCCCAGAAGGGAGAAGGAGAAGCAGATAGGGCTGAGAGGAGGCAGGGATGGGCTGGGGGACATGGCTAGGGGCCATCTCATTTAATCAATTTTGACTTGTTGATGTGTGTGTGTGTGTGTGTGTGTGTGTGTGTGTGTGTGTGAATGTGTGTATTTTAAAACCAACAACAAATGGGAAGTAGATAGCTACAAGGAGGCCGAAGGGGCCTTTGGGTGACTCACTCTGCCAGGAGCAGTGTGGGTCAAGGACACATTGTCAGCGCATGTCACACGCACGCACACACACACACACACACACGCACGCACGCGCACACACACACACACACGCACGCACACGCACTCATCCGTCCCAGCTGCACATGCACTCGCGTGCCATGCACATTCACACTTCCAGTCCTCCCGGTTGGGGCCAGGGTCCTTCTGACCACACTTTCCGGATCCGTTCGCTAGGCTGCCTGCTTCTGCTCAGGTCTCTGCTGGCTCGTCCCCCCCGGCGTCGGCTCCCGAGGGCCATCTACCAGATGTAGCCTCCGTCGTCTGCCTCGCCCGCCTCGCCTTCCTCCTCCTCGGCCTCCTCGCCTGCCTCCTCCGTCTCCTTCTCCTCCTCGTCCTCCCAGCCGACACCGCTCCCAAAGTCCCCCGAGAAACCCACAATATCATCTGTGAGCGGAACAAGCCAATGGTGGATTAGGGACTTGCTCATACCCCTACCTGGAATCCTGCCACACGCGCCCTCCCAGGCACAGGCCCCCAGTGTGTCCCGTGCCGCCACCCCGGCCCTCACCGCAGTCGGGGCTCCCATGAGTGCGGGTGCCGGTCAGCTCCAGGCCCAGCTGGTCCACACACCAGCAGTCGCCGCTGCTCTGGTCACACTGCATCTTCCGGTAGTAGCCGTCCTCATCACAGCTCGGGATGAAGATGCCTGAAGGGGACAGGGCCCGGCAGGGTCAGATCAGGGGTCCTGGAGTGTGGGCTCTCCAGAGAGGTGGCCTCAGAGCCTGGATGAGCAGGAGTCCAGATACCCCCGAGCCCAACCAGACCCAGTTCTGAGTCCCCAGCAAGTCCAGATGCCAAGGGTGGTCACCAGCTGGCGTTTCTTCCAGCTCTACTCACTGGAGATGAGAAAACCCACTTCCTTGAATGACATGCCCAAGGTCCTGTGACGGCTCCCGTCTGCCTCTGCTGTGCCCTTGACTCTGGAGCCCAAGTCTCCTAGGACACCCAGTCTGATCTCATCATGCTCAACGCCCTCGATCCTACCTCTGCTCCTCCGACCTAGCTGTCCTCTGCCAGGAGTGCTCAGGCTTCTCCTCTGGCCTCTCTGAGTCTGGCCTGCCTTCAGGGCCCATCCACTTTTCCACAGGCCCCTGAACTGTCACTCCTCTGTCCACCCAACAGACATCTGAGATCACCACTCTGGAAACCTAGAGATGGACTCTGCCCACTTAGTGGGGAAAGAGACCCTCACAGACAATGCTAATACCAGGTGCCGTGAGGGGAAGTGCCCTAGGGCACAGGAAGCATGCGCAAGAGACATGGAGGGAGGACTGCTTCCTGACAGATGTGCACTAACACCAGCCCCACTGGAGGCTACAGGCACTGTGAGGGGCTGCCACGCTTGGGTTCAAGTGTGTCAGTCTCTTCGGCCCAGGTGAATGCCAAGCTGCTCTCAAGGAGCTACTAGGCCCTGTGTGAACTGCCTCTCAGACTTCTGTCCCTTCAACCATCACACTCCCAGCCACATGGGTCCTTTTTCTCTGTTTCCCAAGAACCTCAAGCTCTTCCCTGCCCTTGGCTTACTGGTTCTCATTCCTTAGGTCTCCCCTTGAGGCTAACTCTGCCTCCTCGTGTTCTTTTCAGTCCCTAGGCACAAGTCAAATTGCTGGTTCTTTCGGTGTGTCAATTTGTGTGTTGTGTGTTTCCCTGATGAGCCTGTGTGGGAGGCTTACGAGGCCAGGGAGCATGTCTGTTTGGCCATCAGGTCTGGGGTGGGCTGTGTTTATGGCTCTTGTCTCTCCAGGGTGGGCACTTGGGGGTTTGTTGAGTATGTATCTCTTGTGAAAGGGTCTTACTGAAATTTCATTTACGTGTTTTTTGAACTGAATCGAATGGAATAGAGGATTCTAGGGTCCTTCTACACCACTACCTCTAGCCCCGGCGTGGACAAGCAAAAACATTAGTGCTTAAAACACATGCACCTAGGGGAGATTGGGAGACTCTGCCCCTCCATAAGAATAAAAACGGAAAGGGAGCTTCCTTCTCCTGTCTTCTCAGGCCAAAGCCTCCTCTGAGCTCAGCAGCTGCATACTCAGGGCTAGAGCCTCTGGGTCTCAAGGGACTCAGGAAGCCCCTCCCCATCTTCTCCTCTGAGCTCTGCCCAGCCCCCTCACCTGGCTTCTTCTTGGCAGCCTCCTGGATCTGGACTCGCTCCAGCTCTGCCAAGCAGGGGGGCTCTGTGGAGAGAGAAGCAGCCTCTGATGGGGCCTGTCCCAGGGTGCTGGTGGGGGCACACTGAGCCCTTTAAGGCTTAGAGACCCAGGCAGGGGCTCTGCAAGATGAAAACACCCTCTCTCTGATACGGGGCCATTCCACAGCAAGGGGTAGGATGCACTGACCCCTCTGAGGTCCCAAAACTGGTGCAGGGCACTGTGGGATGGAAACCCCAGTCTCTAATTAAGGGTGCCCACAGCCTTGGGTGACCTGAGGTTCCAAAGAAGTCCCAGGAAACAGAATTCAAAAGAGGAGGTAAGCTGAACACACAGACGCCCCAGGGTAAGAGATCCGGGGGAGCATAGGGCCAGAGGGAATGTTAGACGGAACTCCCAGGCCTGAAAATACAGTCACATGTTGCATAGTGATGTTTTGGAACCCAGTACACAACAGTGGTCCCATGGGTGATCACACTGTATTTTTACCACATCTGTTCTATGTGCAGATACATTGTGTTGCGATTGCCTCCAGTATTCATTACTGTCACATGCTGTACCATATAGCCCAGGTATATAGTAGGCGCTACCGTCTAGGTTTGTGCAAGTGCACTCTGTGATGTTCACACAACAAAATTGCCTAAGGACACATTTCTCAGAATGTTAAGCGCACAAGACTGTAATTGGCAGCCAACATCTAACTTGCCAGTGACCTCAGTAAGTCCTCACCCCTCCAAGCTGGAGGTCTGCTATTTGTTGTAAATGAAAACAGTTCCCAGCCTCCTGTCCTAGAAAGCTACTCTCCAGAATGGGTGGGAAGGGCTTCAAAGGCCTCGAAGTCAAAGTGCTGGAGTAATGCAGGTGGCAGGAAGGTTGGGCGGTTAGACGCAGTGAAACGGATCACACAGTGCCTCACATGCGCAGAGGGATTTGTGAACTACATAGTGTTCTGCACACAGATTTTCTCGGTTCATCCTCACAACAGGCTCCAAGGTAGGGATGAGGAAAACAGAACTTGGAAAGATTTGGTTACTTGCCCGGAGTCCTAGACTAGCATATGGTGGCATCCTGGTTGGAGCCTCGGCCCCTGACTGTGGAAATTGAACCACGACCACCACAATGGTGGGGACGAATCAGTGAGGCAGAATACCAAGGCCTGTCCCGGCTCTGGCCAGGGAGGTCAGTTGACCCCTCAGGCCTTCAGTTTCCCTATTGATAACATCTAGCCTAGATGATCCCTAAGCACACGCCTAGTTCCGGTTCCAGGTATATACAGCTAACAAGTGCCACCACATCTCTAAAGGCTAATGACGACCTATGGAATTGCCTATTTGGGGACAGAATGTGAGATGTGCCCAGTGGTGGACTCACAGAGAGTTAGCTAGGGTACCCTCAGCTCTAAGACCGTCACTTGCATAGCCCCTTCCCAAGCCCCCAGGGGGCCCTAGAGATTTTACATTTGTAATTTTGCATCATCTTTCTTGAAGAAAGCCTCCAAAAGTATGTAACCAGCAAAATCTGGATCTACTTGCCGAGGAAGGAAATTAAAAGTGCTGGCCTCCCCGGCCTCCATGAGACAAGGCCCTGAGAGTGCAGGAAGGGAGTTGGACAGTTCTGGGCCTGGGGAGGTGGCCAAGAAGGAGCCACCCTGACTCCCAGAGAGCCTGGAGCTCAGGGCAGAGCCCACACGGGTGAACTGGGCCCAGGACAGGGGCCCACACTCACTCTCCCTCCAGAAGCAGAAGCACCACTCGGCAGTGGAGACCCGGCCATCCTTGTAGGTGTCACAGGAGTTGAAGAAGGGGCGGATGCAGACCTCGTACTTGTCCAGGTTGATGGCGGCCAGCTCCATCTGGTCCAGAAAGAGGTCAGCGCTGGTGTCCAGCTTGGAGAACATCCAGCCGATGGAGTCCTTGCAGCTGGCCCCCAGGCTCTTGTCCAGCCCTGGATGCAAAGCAGAATCAAACATGCTCCCTCTGTCTGTCCTTCCATCTCTCCACTCCTCCATCTCCCCACCTCTCTGCCAGCCCAGCCCTCTATTCAGGGTCAGGGCAGCTTGGAATCTAACCATGGGTTTAGAAATTCAAGAATGGCCAATGGTCCTTCCCTCTACCTCCACAGAGGACTTCACCTAAGCCCTTCAAAACACTGTTTTAAAACCACTTCAGGAAAAATAATTCCCACTTTCCCTTGGTTACCCATCTCAGGGTTTAAGCTTCCTCCACTGGTGTTAAGAAGTTTATCCTACGCCGGCATAGTGACTCACACCTGTAATCCCAGCACTTTGGGAGGCAGAGGCGAGAGGATTACCTGAGCTCACAGGTTCAAGACCAGCCTGGGCAACATGGCGAGATCTCGTCTCCACGATAAATACAAAAATTAGCCAGGCGTGGTGGCACATGCCTGTAGTTTCAGCTACTAGGAAGGCAGAGGCAGAAGGATCTCCTGAGTCCAGCAGATAGAGGCTGTGGTGATTGTGAGTGTTCAACTACACTCTAGCCTGGGCGACAGAGTGACACTCTGACTCAAAAAAAAAAAAAAAGTCCGTCCCACTAGCTAACCCATATCCTCTGCCCTGTTGGAGGCTGACCTCTCCTTCTTCTGGTGTTTAGGCTCTTTTAGGGGCCCAGATTGCAGGGCTCAGAGTCTGGCAGGAGGGAGCGAGGGCAGGTTGGTCCCAGGGAACATCCGTCTCCTCAGGCCCCTCCCATCTTCCTCCCACCTCCCAGGCAGGGCAACATGTCTGTACCACTGGCCAGGCTGGCTGCGCTGCTGGCTGAGCCGTTCTGCTTGGAATTCTCATGAAGGAGCTGGAACCAGTCCCGCAGTCGATCTCCCAGGTCCGCCAGGTCCTGGCCCGTGCAGGTCTCTACAGTCAGCAGAACAGAGAGAAGGGCATGGAGGAAGAGTGCGGGGTGAAGCAGCAAGGACGATCTCAGTTGGGATCTTGCCCTTCAGCCAGGGAGTCTGGGAGTGAGTGGCCAGGGATACAGCAGGAGGAGGAAGACAGAAACTAGGGGCTTCCTCTCCCATCCTCACCCAGCTTCTGCCGCTCCCCTTTCCTCCTTCCGAGTGCTAAAGACATGGCCCAGGCTCCCTGTGGCTGAGTCTGAGGCTTCCTAACTCAGTGCTAACCTGGGCCACAGACCCCACAGCTCCTTTAGGCCCCTCCTTGCTGTTGCCACCTCTCCCTTCCCGCTCTGCAAACCCCCTTCACCACCCTAGAGCCCTGAGGGAGGGCCAGGCAGCCCTGGCAGCGACCCCCCACCCCTAGCCCAGCTGTGGCTCGGCATCTCCTCACCTGGTTTCCCATCAGCGGCGGAGGTGGCAGCCTGCTCTGTGGGGCAGGGGCAGGGGCCCTCGCATCTCACCGCCAGCTGTTTGCTGCTCAGGCACGCCTGCTGTTCCAGCTTACACTGCACAGAGAAAGTCGGGCTGGGGGGTGGGAAACCCTCAAGCATCCCTTGACAGCCACATCTGCCCCCCCGGTGGAGCACCTGTGAGCAGCCTGGGAGGGCCTTCCTCGCCCCTCTGCAGGCCCAGGTACACAGAGGTGAGAGACAGCAGGCCCGGGAAGGGGGCCCAGGACCCAGGCCTCGCCACTGCAGGCTTCATGTGTGTGCCCTGGACCAGCCTGCCCCCTCTGGCTATCTGTCCTTCCCAGGACACCTGTGCCCCTCCCCCTCCCCCCATCATCTGCCTCCCCTGTTTTAACTGTCTGTTGCTTATCTCTCCTCAAGGCTCGGTCCAACTCACCACAGTCCATTGGTCCCTGCTTCAATGGTCCCACAGTCACCCCCGGGGTTTTTCTCAGCTCTCTGGATACCAAGCAGCCCCTGGCTACTGAGCATCTACCAACTCCCCAGCCCTCACTAGGAACTGCCACACCGTTTGCTGACAACCAGTTTCTGAGAGGGGCTCCTGCACTCCTTGCCGTTATGGCATTTTCCCCTGGTTGTATCTGATTCTCCTTGTGGGGTGACCGCTAATGCAAAGTGGGTCGTCACATTTTACATTATCTCACTTGGTCCCGACAGCTCCCTGAGGAGGATTGTGTTTCCAGAGCTCAGCAGAGAACATCAAGTGCAGAGAGGCCCAGCGACTTGCCCAAGGCCGGGGGCTGGGATGAAAATCAGTCAGCGACCTCTGCCTCCCTAAAGGACAGTGTGACCCTTGGGCCCAACTGCAGCTTCCTGCCCAAGACTCACTCTGCCTTTGAGTTGTGGGATGGACTTGTTCTTCTCCCCACCAGCTCCGCCTGGCTTCTTGGCATCCCTCCTGCCTCCTAAATGTAGCCCCTGTCCTTGGTCTCCTGTTCATTTTCTGTCTCCCCTTCCTGCCTTCTCCCTGGGTGACATTATCCCCTCAAGCAACCTCCGCAGTGAGTGACTCTTAAATCTGCATCTCACCCCAAAAGGGTTCCTCAGACCTGGACCCCACCCCTTGTCAGCAGTCAGTAGCTTCCAAACCCAAGCAGTTTCCAACACCTCATTGCTAGTAAAAACATTGAGTCAGCACCTGCATTTCTATGGTGCTTTAAAGTTTTCTTTGTTTTTTTGTTTTTTGAGTTGGTCTGTTACCCAGACTGGAGTGCGTGGCACACTCTCGGCCACCGCAGCCTTGACCTGCTGGGCTCTGGCGATCCTTCCGCCTCAGCCTTCCAAGTAGCCAGAACTATAGGCGCACGCTACCATGTCTGGCTAATTTTTGATTTATTGTAGAGACAAGGTCCTGCCAAGTTGCCCAGGCTGGTCTCGAATCCGTGGTGGGCTCAGGCAATCCACTCGCCTCGACCTCCCAAAGTGCTGGGATCACAGGCTGAGCCACTGATTCCGGCCTGCTTTGAAGTTTATAAAATGCTTTCCCAAGCATCATCTCATGCAATCCTTATGAAAATCCCATAAAGTGAAAGGTCACGCTCTCCACCGCCACTCCTTCTCACGTGGAGGACCCCTCCTGGAGGACTACTTGTTTCTTCCCCAGGACGCCCCTGCTTGCAGGTGAATGCCAGCGCCTCCACACAGAAGGCTCCTTTCTTTACCCCCTGACAAGTGGATCACAGAAGCTCCTTCCTTCCACAGCTTTGGGACTATGCTAATGCCCTTACCTAACTTCCTCGGACTTATTCTGTCCTCAGTGTCTCATCCAGTCCTCACCCTCTACCTGTAACTCCCCGAGGTCAGGGACAGACAGGGTCTAGCTCTAACTCTCAGGTAGCCCCAGCCGGGGTGCAGGGCTCCCTAGTATGGGTAGTTGCGCTGACCTTGATGCCTGGCCCCACTTCAGTCCTGGAAACTCCTCTGGAGGCCCCAGGTGAGACGTCTTCTCTGCTCCCTATGGCCTCACGTGACCTCCCCACCCCACCTGGGGCCAGGGACCCTCACCACCGAGCTATAAGTGTGGCCGTCAGAGCCGCAGACGGAGGCGAGCTGGGCCATGTGGCAGGGCTTGCAGATGGAGTCTTTGTTTCCATGGAGTTTCATGGCAGGCTGCTTGATCCTACAAGGGAGGGTCGGGACACCAGGAAAGAGGTGAAAATGAGGGAGGGGTAGGGGAAGGAAAGGGTCAGGAAGTCCAGCAATCTAGACCCCGGATCCCCGGCTGCCCCTTTTCCAGGGGTTACTGAGTCCAGCAAAGCCATTGGGTAGCAACTCCGGGTCTGACTGCAGGAGGCAAAAGGGATCTCACTTCACTTTTAAGGGACTGGACCAAATCAGAGATTGCAAACTAATGGTCCCTGGGCCATATCTGGCCTGCAGGGCCATATTTAGCTACCAAGGGTTGTTTTTATTTGTTTGTTTTTTAATTGAGTTATTCACCAACATTTACAAAATGGGAGAATGCACATAAAAACCTGGATTCCTGGCCTTCCTCAGAAAAATGGAAGATACGGCTGTTCTGGACTTGTGTTCCCACATAGCCACAAAGGGTCAGTGCCAAGAAGCAGCTGCCCCTTTTCCACTGAACCTGTGCTCACCAGAGTGGCCCATCACCAAGTTCTCTTCACATATTACAGTCCCTGCCAGACCCCTGCAGGCACCTAACACCGCAAACCCAAGTCTATCGTCTAGGATGCAGGAGAGAGGAGAGGGGAACAGAAACTTTCCAGAGGTCTTGGAGCCAGGAAGGGTCTTGTACTTGGGCTAGAATTAAGACTTCCTCAAATGCCCTTACCCCCTTCTTCCTCTGTAAGCTACAACCTCTCAGAAGCTTCCGCCTTAAATATTTCATAAAATCACTGCATGTTAGCTGGAAGGAACCTCAAATTATCTGGTTTCACCTATTTGTCTTAGAGATAAGACACCAAGGCCTTCAAAGGAGATGTGACTTTCCTTGGATCCCACAGTGTTGGTTAATTGTTCTCACATAGTGTGGCTTCCTCCTTGCTCTCTGTCCCGGATGACTTACTTTAAAGGAAGCCAACTGCCATGTTGTGAGCATACTCAAGCACCCCTTTGGAGAGGTCCACATGACTAGGAACTGAGGTCTCCCATCAGTTGCTATGAGAGGGAGCTTGGAAGAGGATCCTCCAGCCCCAGACGAACCTTCAGATGATGCAGCCCCAGCCAGCACCATGGCTATAACCTTATGACAGACCCTGAGCCAGAACCACCCAACAGAACCACTTCTGGATTCCAACCTTGGAAACTATGTGAGATAATACATTATCTACTGTTTGGGGTACTGAATTTTGGGCACTAAATTTTGGGGTGATTTATTTCACAGCAATAGATAACCAGTTCATAAGGAGAGGGTCAACAGAGTCCTTGCTCTTTGAACAAACCCCCTACAGGGCTTCCTCCTCCCCAAAATCCTCACTCACCTGTGCTCCAGCTTCTTGCGGCTGATGCACATGGCCCGCTGGTAGCCCTGGGCGATGCACACCTTGTGGCGACTGCACTTCACCTTCTGGCAGGGGTCCTTGGTGGTGTCCAGGGCTGCAAGGACACAGGGTCAGAACACAGGTCCCCTGAGAGAACCCAGGAACGCCCAGCCCCACTTCTGAGCTGGGCAGCCCCGCCCTCCAGCAGCCCTTGATAACCAGAGCTCTCGAGCTCTGAAGCCCCACCTCCACTGGAACCTGGCTGCTCCAGGAGCCCCCAAGGCCAGGGTCAGGACTTGCCCTCTAATCTTACATATTCATGGGTGCCAATCAACTTCCTCCACCTGGGAGGACCATGTTACCTTCATCTCCTTGCTGATTGTCCTCCCAGCTCTTGATGTAGTCATCCTAGTGAAGGGCAAAGAGGGACAGGGGAGAAAGAAAGGGCTAAGACATCCCAGAGGTTCAACTGCAGGGCCAGGGAGAGGAGAGACCCAGGTCAGTACTTTCACATACAAACTGCCACAATCCTGGTGGCTGCCCAGATGACCCCTGTCCACTCAGGCCCTGCCAGCTGCCTCCCCCACACCTCTATCCTCCTAAACCCACGTCCAGAATCCTTCTGGCTTCCCCCATAAGTTCCTTAGTCCTCCTATGCCACGCTGGACGCTGGCAGGGAAGGAGAATTCGGGGTGAGGGTGTGAAGAGACAGGAGGGGCAAGGAGGTTGCTCTGCAGAGATCATACACTGTGACACCTCGGGTAGTACTCACCTCTACCTCCTGGAGATCAGGACACAGCAGCAGGCCACGAGGATTGGAGCAGGAGAAAGGGAAAGAGATGGGATTTCAGTGTGAGGACACAGAAGTGTCTGGAGCCCCCACCTCATCACATGGTCATGTGTGCTGGGTGATGGTCTTTGGTGGTTGTGGTCCCCTGACCCCCAGGGACTCCAACTGGAGGCCAGTATTCCTGTCTTTACCACAAAGAGCTTATGGCTGGGTTTAGGAGCTGTAGGGGCTCAAGGCTTTAAGAGGGCGAGGCACCTTCACATCCACTCCCTGCCCAGCGCTGGCCCCAGTACCAGGACAGATGTCTGAGGGGCCACATTCACTGCCCAGGACAGTGCTGGCACCTTCACATCCACTCCCAGTCCAATCCTGACCCCAGCACAAGGACAGATGTCTAAGGGACCACACGCCTGGGACAGTGCTTCTCATGCCTGTGCCTTGGATGTCTCAGAAACAACACACCTTCTCCCCTTCTGCCAAGGTCCCTTCCTGCACCACCCCTCCCACTATGCAAGTGAGGTGAAAAAGATCTGCTGGTCCAGGCTGCAAAGGGACAGTTTTCACTCAAGGTCTGACTTTTCTACAGAACTCAGATGGTGCTGAGGGAAAGCGGAGGTCACGCTGATGATGATGGTTTGTCCAGAGTCAGAGGACCCTAAAGAGGTCCCAGAGGGCCACCTGGTCCAGCCCCTTCTGTGCAGGAGAGGTCAGAAATCCAGGGACAGGAATGGTAGAACTCAAGTCCTACCAACTCTCTCCTCGCAGACCTCACTTCTTGTCACGTCACACTGTCTCTGAGAACTAAGGCATGAGGGAGATCTCACCCTGCTCCAGTGGCAGGGGCCTCCTGTGGACCCCAGAGTGGCCAGAGGCAGAGTGCCTCCCACTTAGCCCCACTCCCTGGCAAGAAACCCCTGAACGTGACTGGTTTCCTCCCTTTCCCCTGTGGGGCTGAGACAGTTGCTGAAAAACAGCAAACAGCTCCCAGGGTGCTCCTGGTGGGAGGGAGGAGACTCCCAGAAGGAAGAGGGCACCTCGGGACTGGAGACTGGCAGTGCCAAGGAGCCAGCTGCTGGCTTCCTCTGCTTGGGTATGTGGGGACTCCAGAAGTTGGGGGTAGGAGGTAATGAGAAGCCATGGCAGCTGCCCCCCTTGTCCCGTTCTTTGGATTTCCCACCCAAAGATCAGAGATGTGCAGGGGTGGGGGTAGAGGTTGCACTGTGGGGTGGGGATGGGCAGGATCCTAGCTGTCAGGCCTAGCACCAGAGGGCACCCACGTGCAGGCTACAGGGGGCACAAAGGAGGGCACCCACAATGGCTTTGAAAGCCCAAGGACTCTGGGCTTCTGAGGCCGCCCCTGAAAGCTGGCAAGCATCAGCGCAGGCAGGGGCGGGGCCTCCAGGACAGAGGCCAGAAAAGGGTCAGACTCCAGTAGGCCAATGGCCTCCCCACAGAGGGAGACACGTGGCGGGCAGGAATATACCTACCCATGTGCTTCTGTGCACATGTGTGTCCATGCATACCCAGATGCAGGCGTGTAAGCCAGCGGGTCTGCGTTGTACAGCGTGTGTGTGCAGGCATGTGTGTGCATGTCCTCACTTATGCACATGTGGACATATAACACACATGTACGGCAACAGTAGGAAAACAAGGACGCTTCGAGGCAGGGCACCCAATGCCAGATGGTTTTTATCCAGCAATGAAGGAACAAAACCCACTCTGTAAGCAGCCTCCAGTTTTCACATTTGGGCGCCAAGGCCCTCCCTCAGGCTGGCCTTCCTGCCTCTTCCGCTGTTAGAGAGGGAGGGCAGCAAGAGATGGCAGTGGGAAAGAAGGGGGAAGGAGGGGGAGCTGCAGACTTGTCCCGTGAGGGTCTGGGTTTGTGCAAGCACTGCGCTCGCTTGCTCTCTCGCTTCTCTCTCTCTCTCTCTCTCTCTCTCTCTCTCTCTCTCTCTCTCTCTCTCTCTCTCTCTCTCATGTGTGTCTCCCTGTGTCTATTTCCTCCACCTCTCTCATTTAGACTCTTCCCTACCCCTTCACTCTGTCCACATCTGGCCCACACATACCAGTCCATGGACCCAGAGCAGGCAGAGAGGGTGCTTCTTGGGAGCCTGCCTCAGCACTTGGCTCAGGCATCACCCGAATCCTGAACTGAGCCCTCTTGAGTCCCCAAGTGAACTTCTGAAGAGGCTGCAGACACCATGTCCCTCATTTGCTCTGGTCAAGGGAAGCCAGCTTGGACCCAGTTCTTCCCAGAACCTCCTCAGGGTGGTAAGGTCTTCTGACCAGGGTCCACCCCACCACAGATGAAAAATGGAGGCCTGGGGAGGCCAAGTTGCTGAGGCAAAGGTAGCAACTGACCTCCATCAAGCTGAGGTCTTCCCACCCTTCTCATTGTTCCCTGGGAGGGGGTAGAGATGAGGTTGTGCAGATGATGCGAAATGGCTGGGTTTGGGGAGGCAAATGATAATTACCTGCCCTAAACCCACAAGATATGTATGCCCCACAACTCACCCGCACCAGCACCGGAGAAGGGGAGGGGCCTCTGGCCGGTGCCCCAGGCTCCTCCTGCCCTGGGCAGCAACAGCTGAGGGCCAGGCTCACTGCCACACTCTGTCCACCCACCCCTGATGCCTTCACCTCCAACCAGGCTGTGAGCGGACTCTCTGGGACTCAGTACACAGTGGGTTCTCGAAGGACAAGACCAAGAATTTCTGATTAGAAACTTGGGGGAATGTGGGGGTAAGGGCTCTCCCCTGCAGCCCCAACATCCCCCCAACTCCCAGCCAGGGAAAGGCTCCACTTCCTGAGTCCTTCTGCACAGAGGGCCATCCTGGGTTCTGGCTCTAGCTCTTTGCCTGTACTGGGGCCATGCTGTCGTGAGTGGGGAGCAGGGAGGCCTCAGTGGTTCCAGATTCCAGGACCCCCACTATTCGGAGAGTGGAAGCAGCCAGCCAGAGAGATGGGTGAGGGGAGCAGGGCCCTGGGTCCCACAGATACCCATGCTTCCCCTCACCAGCACATCCCAGACAAGCACCCCGACCTTAAGGTGCCAGGACGTACCACCTGCAACTAGAAAAATGGAGAGAGAGAGACCACCATGGGAGAATAGAGCACAGAGGGGGTGTGAGGAGAGTCCCTCCTCGGAGATCTTGGAGAGAGAGGTGATGAGGAAAGCCTGTGGCAGCTTGGGAATGGCTACTCTGGGGGCAAAGCCCAGGGACACACGTAGAGGCCCTTGAGGTTAGGCGTGGGCTGGTGCCACCTGTAAGCTGAAAAAGAGGTGTTTGTTGGCAAGTGTGAATAACGCCTTTTGGTGCGGCAGTGGGTGTCTATTTATGGCACCCAAGAGGGCTCATTAGCAGTTGTGAGAAACGGTCTGATAAAGGCACCAGGGTGTTCTTAGGAAGCGGGAGGCTGGTTCTATGCTGGCTCAGCTGCCAATTCACCTGGAAAATGGGGATTTGGAAAAGCCCATCCCTAGTGTGTTGGAGCAAGGGCCAGACTGCAGGAGCAATGGGTCACAGGCCGAGATGTAAAGCTCTGGGCCAAAGGAGCTATTTTACCTGGTCACTACCACCAGTGATGACCATAAAGCAGACAGGTGAGAAGCTTTTCCGGGGTGGGAAAATGCACAAGGGCTTCTATTGAATCGTGTTTTTAAAAAAAAGAATTTCTTTTTTTTTTTAGAGATGAGGGTCCACCCCACCCATCACAGCATGGTTGCAGTAGAGGAAAAGAGCTGAGCCAGGACCACCTATCCCTGAGCCCACCTCGCAAATGTCAGGGTCTCCCTCCTTAAGGGAGGAGCAGTGTCTGCACTGAGAAGAGGAAGGCAGAGGGGAGAGGCAGAGAAGACTTCGGACCAAGGGTCTGCTCTCTGCCTGGCCCACGGTCTGTTCCCGGATAAGCCACTTTCCCTCACAGGTTCCTCTGTGCCATGTGGGCCCTTAGCAAGACTCTGCATTAGAACCATTGAGGAGCATTTCAAGCCTTCCAGTGCCCAAGCGCTACCTGAGACACCTGGAATCTCACTGTGGGGCCTGCTCTAGCCAGATTTTCGCACTGGTTCTTCGCAGGCCGCCAGAGCAAGACTGCTGGCCCAGCTCTTGGGTCTCAGGTCCTTCCGCCTCTGCATCTTACGTCTAATGTGTCTTATTTTCTCTGGTGTCTTCCCCTCTAACACGGGGGCTCAGGGATGCACAAGGGCAGCCATTCTTCCACCTGCGAGGGCGCCTCACACAAAGGCAGAAAAGATGAGTAAAAAAGCCAAGGTTCAAATGTGTTGAGCAACAGGCCGGCTCACAGGAAGCCAGGTTTCTGACTTCCACGACAGGTCTTTTCCTGTGGGACACATACCATGCCACTCTCGCCAAGTCGATGACTCTGTCTTGTCCCTTCCACCTCCCATATCAATCAATCAATCAATCTCCCCCCAAACCTGCCCTCCCCACCTCACCATACGGCTGCAACCTGAATGATGCAGCATCCCCCGCTGGTCTCCCTCCTCCCATCCAACTTCCACACTGCTGCAGCCGAGGTGATCCTTCCAGAACACAATTCTGATTATGTCTTTCCCTCCTTAAAACCCTTCTCTGAATATAAAATCGGTCTCATTTTGGAAAAAAAATAAAAGTGAGTAGGTGAAAAGGATTTATACCAAAATGTTAACAGTAGTTTCCTCTGCAGGGCAGGACTACAGAGAATTCTGGCATCTTTTCTGCCTTTTCTCAACTTACCAAAATTTCTATGAATATGCATGCCTTTTGTAATGAAGGAAAAAAACATAATGAATAGTATCCTTTGAAGACCCTCAATGGCTCTCTGTCACCTGCAGAAGGAAGTCTTCTCCGGGTCTGCTCCTGGCCACCACAGCTCCACTCCTTGCAGTGAATGTCCAGCACGGCCAGGACTCGGTCCAGCGTCTCCATCTGGAGTGCGAGTTCACACCCTGCCCAGAATTTCTACTCATCTTTCAAAATCCAGCTCAA